TTTAGCCAGGGCCTAAGAGTAAACATTTTACGTTTTGTTGTTCTTGAATTAGTGCTCTGATATCAGTATACAAATTTTTCTTATGGTCATGAWAATTCTTTAGTTTTTCAGTAATTGAAGCTCAATTTCATGGCGTCATKAATTTTGTTTCCACGATATTTAGAAAATTTCGTGTTAAAGTGGACATTAAATAGAAAAGTTCAAAATTTGTCTTAGATAGTTTCTTTTTTTTAACGAGCCCTCTGTTGAAGGTAGGCCTTTCTCACCCCTCTTGAAAGTCTCTTGCTCAAAAAATAACAATCTAGGATTCATATTTAATGATGGCCTATCTAACCTAAAAGAACTTTGAATTTGATCATGATTGTTGACCCTTGCCACAAATTCTAACATTTTTTCGATTCTTGTGGACATTGCCTCAAATGTTATCAAAGGTGGCAAAACTATGAGGAAACTTCGGGAAACATATTTACTCAACATTGGTTAGCATATGCGCACTTTCAAGATAGAGCGAGCGTTGCTAAGTAACGAATTCGAACTTGAATGTTGACTTTCCTTGCTAAAAAAACGAGCTTTCGGGAACCATTGTTTCTATGCTTCTTGAAAGCATGAAATGTTTCTGTCGCACAGCATCAGAACTTGGAAGCAAACTTCGTTGCATGCAGCAATGTTGCGCATGTGGCTGTAATGGTAAACATCGAGGGAACATGCGAGCGGTTAACATGTTTCTGGAAACACGTTTCCTCGTTTAGCCAGGGCCTTAGTTGTTATCATTACAAGTGAAGTCATTTCGTTCAAGGAATGTGTGTATCTGATTATGATTTATTCGACAAATTTCGCTAAATTAAAGTGACTTAGAATATAATTTTGGTTCAAATCGCGAAACTGAAGAGTCACTAAATTTGCGATTAAGAGGCGCTTAATTTGTGTCTTCCGAAAACACGAAATTYCCAGTCGCGATAATTTCATTCAATGAATTATTTAACATCAGGTTGTCTGAAAATAAGATTATTTTTCTCACTGTAATTTATCTTCACATAAAGAACTCGGCAAAGGTACCTAAGGCTCATGTTGGCGTCGACTGACTTCACATGAGCGAACCTAATTGAAAATATATATAACAAGACAGAAGAGCTAGAGGTCAGACTGAGAGCAGGCCGGGGTGAAATAGATGTTAGGTCGCGGTAATTATGATGCAAAGATGAGAGTATGTGGACCGCGTGGCACTAATGAAATAGTAGAAGATAATATAGGTAAGTTGTAGTGCTTGGGAACGAGGTTATTCCGGGCGAAAGCCCTGGGAATTAAATTCGGAAAAATTAATTTCCGACCTCGCTGGGAATCGAACCCACGACCTATATTATCTTCTACTATTTCATTAGTGCCACGCGGTCCACATACTCTCATCTTTGCATCATAATTACCGCGACCTAACATCTATTTCGCCCGGAATAACCTCGTTCCCAAGCACTACAACTTACCTATATTATCTTCTACTATTTCATTAGTGCCACGCGGTCCACATACTCTCATCTTTATAACAAGACAGTCTTCTTTGATTTCATTAGGTTCGGTTCATGTGAACTTCGACATGACATGTGCACAGGATATTCATTTCAGTTTTAATAGCATGAAGAATGCTCATTTGTTATATTTGTTATATAATTTTAGACTTGAATATCAGAGAAAAGTCGAAATTCAGGATAAAAAAACGTTTTAGTATTACTTCCAATCTCGAGAACTTTGGAAAGCCTCATAATCATTATCGTTTCAAAATATCTATTTTTGAGTCTGGCAAATAACGAAAACAAAGCACCTGTTTCTCATTTGCATAGAAATGAAAAACTCTCAGTTCTAAGACAAATGTTTGTCTATTTGTATAGGTGAAATCGAATAGGTTCAAGTGCGGTTTGGAAAAGAAAATCACGGGTGTAGTTGAGAGTATTTTTTCAACATGATAGTTTACAGTGAAGTGATATACATCGTACCACTTCACTGATATGGTACTTATTCATCGATTTATGACACGGATATCAACCCTAAATGTGTAATACAATAATTTACTAAAGCATAATCTTTATTTTTAATGTGATAACGTCTTTGCAAATTGGTTTATACAGCTGGAGATTTTTTAAAGAAATCTTAAAGAAAAGAAATACTATAGGGTCACTTCACAAACTATTTTATATATTTTTATAGTAATCTATGTTCGTATTTTTTTTTCTTTCTTTTTTTGACTTCTTTGCCTCAATCTTGCAACTTTAACTTGCTTATATGTAGAACTCGGTAAAGGTACCTAAGTAGTATAGGGGATGGGGGTTCCAGCGCAACGACCAMCGGAGGATTACCCGTCTAAAGTGAATTCCTCGATTCGTACCGCGATTACCCGCATCCCGTGTTTATGTAGTTAGATATGTTAGTCTATATATGGAGTGCGAAGATTGTAAGAGAACTTTTAAGAAAGAAGTGGACTTAAAGAAGCAATTGAAGATGAAGTCGAAATGTATGAGCAGCTATGATTGTGGATGTGGTAAGAAGTTTGAGACTAAGGTTAAATTGTTTTGGCATTGTCAGGA